TTTCAAGCAGAAGACGGCATACGAGCTTTTCAAAGTGCCACCGAGGAGATCGATCGTGCCATTAATAAGACGCTGTCGTCTCTCTTTAATCCCGACGGCTCATCCAAACACGTTAATCCGTTCCGGCTGGCACGATTTCCGAACGCGATTGGACGCGCAGCTGCTAGACCCGCCGAGCTCTTCGAGAGGACTCTCGTCAACATCCGACGTATGGTGGATGCCGGCAGTAAGGCAAACGTCACTGATGAATTTCGTTACGAGGAAATCTTAACACCTGAACAGGTAAAATTGAGTAAAGCCAAATATATGCGATAATATATAAAGCGTTATATCCTCAAATTATAAATGCGCATCCCGTTTCAGGTCCAAGAAATCGAACGATTGTCGGGATGCACCGGTCATAGACGTCGGCAGAATTGCACCAATAGATGTTTCCATCACAAATATCGGACCATAGACGGCAGTTGCAATAATCTGCGCCATCCTACTTGGGGCTCATCACATACGGGATTCCGAAGAGTACTACATCCTGTCTACGAGAATGGTTTCTCGATGCCAATCGGTTGGGAGAAAGGACGACGCTACTACGGTTATCCGAAGCCCGCTGCACGCCTCGTGTCGACCACGCTCATCTCAACCCACGACATTACGTCGGATGAACAGATCACCCACATGGTGATGCAGTGGGGTCAGTTTCTAGATCATGATCTCGATCACGCGTTACCGTCGGTGTCGAGCGAATCGTGGGATGGAATAGATTGCAAAAAGTCTTGCGACAACGCCGCGCCTTGCTTCCCGATGGAAGTGCCGCCAGGTGATCCGCGCATCAGCAACAGGCGTTGTATCGACTTTGTCAGAAGCAGCGCCGTCTGCGGTTCCGGCGCGACTAGTATACTATGGGGGGGCAACCTGACACCTCGGGAACAGCTGAATCAGCTCACTAGCTACCTGGACGCATCGCAAGTCTATGGCTACGACGACGAGTTGGCGCACGATCTGCGCGATCTCACGACGGATCGTGGATTGCTCCGGGAAGGTCCCACGCTTCCCGGTCACAAGCCTCTACTGCCCTATGCGTCCGGCCAGTTTGTCGACTGTCGTAGGAATCCACTGGAGAGTTCGATCAATTGCTTTGTAGCCGGTGACATTCGCGCCAACGAGCAAGTCGGCCTGCTAGCCATGCATACCATATGGCTGCGCGAGCACAACCGCATCGCTCGCGCGCTACGCGAGATGAATCCACACTGGAACGGCGAGAAGCTATATCAGGAAGCGAGACGTATCGTCGGCGCCGAGATGCAGCACATCACTTATCGGCACTGGTTGCCGCGGATATTTGGACCGGCGATCGACGACTTTTTGTCGTCGTACCGAGGCTACGATCTCAATATCGACGCCAGCATATCCAACGTTTTCGCTACCGCCGCTTTGCGTTTTGGTCATTCGCTCATTCAGCCACGTCTACAGCGCCTGAACGCGTCCTTCCAACCGATTCCTCAAGGTCCTCTCGATCTGCGAGATGCCTTTTTTGCGCCCTGGCGACTAGTGGAGGAAGGTGGCGTCGATCCGCTGATCCGGGGTATGTACGCCACGGCGGCGAAACTGAAGCTGCCCGAACAGAATCTCAATGTTGAGCTCACCGAGCAGTTGTTCCGTACCGCACACGCGGTTGCGCTGGACTTGGCGGCGATGAATATCCAGCGAGGAAGAGATCACGGGCTTCCCGGCTATCTAGAGTGGCGCGATTATTGCAACATGTCGCGCGTGGAAACGTTCGAACATTTGGCTAACGATATCAACAGCGGTCGAGTGCGGCAGAAGCTGCGCGAATTGTATGGCCACCCAGGCAATATAGACGTCTGGGTTGGTGGTATTCTCGAGGATCAGTTGCCGGGGATGAAAGTCGGACCGCTGTTCAAATGTCTTCTATTGGAGCAATTCCGGCGAACCCGGGACGGCGATCGGCTCTGGTATGAAAATCCGAGCGTCTTTCGCGCGGAACAGCTCGCACAAATCCAGCAAGTGTCGCTAGCCAGAATCTTGTGTGAC